ACATACAAGATTATATCCAAAGGATCATATCCAGTCCTAATCCAATTTAAAGCTAATTTTTTCAGTGGGTATACTCTTAAGGAGGACCAACATTGGCTATAGCCCACTATGTCAAAAGTAATGGCTGCATTCAAATGTCATAATTTAGCACTGCACATGTAAGTGAAAAGGAGTTTGCGCAAGCCACAGGTTCATACACTGCCCTCCGCTCTTCCTGTGTGACAGGGAGAAGAAACAAGCTAAAATTTATGGTTACTTTAGCAAATACTTGGTTTGTGTTTACATATGAACCATGGAATGTAATTCAGAATTAAGCTGAAAAACATGCCAAAATCTAGTGCATTTTTGTTTTGCAAGCTTCTTTAGCAAACTAATATTTACTTTAAACCACAGTCCTTGGAGTGTAGAAACTAAATTTAGATCACTGAAGATCATTAAAATAAATAAATAAAATCCTAAAAAATATTATAGCTATGCTTGTGGCATGACTTGATAAAAGCTAAGTAGAACCTCACTATGTAATAACAGATTAGATGTAATACATATTTTATATATTCTCTGGGTATATATAGCATGCATACCTCCTCCCCCTCCATCCCATCCTTGCCATCTTGATCTCAGATCTGAAGTAGCAGCAGCCACGGAGGTGCTGGAACCATGAGGAGAACCAGCGGTTTCCCTGTCACAGGGAAGACCAGTGCCTGCCAGCCTCATTGCTCCACAGTGCTCTCCAGTCTGAGATCAGAGGCAACAGGGGGGATTCCACTGCTGGCACATGTCAGCAGGTGAATTCCCAGAGTTACCTCTGCTCTCAGATCAGAGACAGCAACCGGAGAGCCTAAGCCCCACCCCGTAGAGGAAACAAAATAAGCTGAACCAGCCAGATTAGTGGGCTGGAGGCTTCTGGAGCCTGATGCATATATTGTGATCAGAAAAGCATAGCCATACAAACAGAAACCGAGGTACCATAATGCCTTCCTTTTAACATTAGGAATCATTGCTTGCTGCACTCGCTGAATGAATTGGTACGTAATCATAGTCTCCCATATTTTATAAATCCATTACTATTTAGCTGGTTGCTTTGGATACTTATGTACTATGCAAGACTTGATGTTGCACACAACTGTACTGCTGTGTAAAATCCTTTAAGAAGGTCTTGACTTGATATCTGCATAGAGTGCAACATTGCATTTGATGGTCTAAACAGCTCCTTTCAACTCTGTGATTCTCTTCTTTAAGAGTCCATTATCATTAGGTTGAAAATTATCTTCAGTTTTCTTAATCTTATATACACTTCCTTATGTGGAATTTTGCCCTTAACTATGGACTACAAATGTATTTGATAAGCAAATAGGAATATATGTCTGCACCAGAGAAAATGTGTTTCTTTTCATCAGATCCAAAGGAAAAACTGTTAGCTGTAGAGTATAAGCATATTTATTTATTAACAGCTGGCCCTATGTGTAGTTACTAATGTAATCTCACAGGTTTGTTTTAGCCATTTCAAAGCCCATCAATCAACCATACATGCAGTATCTAAATATGTATTTCTGAATTAATTTCCATCTAGGATTTTAAGGTTCTAAATAAATAAGTAAATGAACCAAACTGCCAGAGGCCATATGCAGTGCAGAATAGATCTTGATTAGGAGGTTGAGAATTCTGATGACCTTGAAAAGCTATAGAATAATAAGTGAAAAATGATACCACTTTTTCTTTCAAGGCAACTTTTTTTCTGAAGGAGAATGTCTTGTTAGTGATGTTTCATTAGTGTACCTTGTTCAAGAAACAATGTAGTTGTGATTGGGCTTGTGCTGTAAGACTTTCAAGTGCACCTTGCTCTTGCTGGTTTTCTCGATCTTATTTTTCTGCAGGATCATCTGCATCAGATAGCTGCAGCTATTTGGCTTGCAGCAGATCTGTTTGTCAGAGCCTTGAGATCCACCAGCCAGACCCAAGATCCAGTTGTAATCCAGTTGGTGTACCCCATGGTGAACCATAAGCCCTGGTTCTGTATTCGGTATTCATAACTAGGTTTACCTCTGATCTGCCACAGATCAGAATTTCTAATACCAAATTCTAAAAATACTGTAAAAAGACTCGGGTCCAATGATTTCATTTCATGTGTCCCTGCTTTTCACAAAGTGCTCCTGGCCCTTTGCATAGGATGCCCAGAAGGCTATAGGCATCACAACTGGATTGTATCCAAAGTCTTCCCATTTCTACCACCTCCCCGTTCTCTAATAGCCACCCTCCTGGGAGTGATGGGATATGTTTGCTAGTAAAAATGAAGAGAAGAATGCAGTCTCCTCTGAAAAAACATTGTACATATACAATCAGAACTTTTGCACTTCATTTCATCTTCAAGTTCTTAGTAATTCGGTGTATAATGACTGCCAATCTCAAACAAGATTCCAAATTTTCATCTATGAAACTGGAATTATACTTTTTCTGGTGGGCTTTGAATTCTCTTAAGATTTTCTTTTCTGTCAGTGCCGCTGTAAAACAACAAAACATGCATATGCACTTTGATTTTATCAGCATGGAGAAAAAATTCCTCAGCATAGGTTTTGGGTTTTTTTGTTGGTTTTGTTTCTTTAATCTTTGAAAATGCACTCATCCTGTATCTGGTTAGAAAAAATGAGGCAGAAGAAAGACTTGTTTCTTATTGAGAGTTCTGTCCAGGCTGGACCTGTGGGTGAATACAGAGCTAGGATGAGGTGTGCATGCATGAGATTCTTCCATCTTCTCCTTTGCAACAGGTACACTCAGAACAGAATTGTTCTTACTCAGAACCAAACAACATGTTCGGCATCCTGTTTCCTGGTCATTGTCTTCCCTGAGTGTCCTGTTGCATTGCTGGTTGGTGGCACTGCCCAGAACTTTTGCATCTGCAATTTCCTTCAGTTTCCCACATGTTCAACTGGAAAGATGATCAGAACTTTTCCTCAACACCCACACACTTAATTTTCCAATGAAAAATGCAGTTGCATGAGAGTAAGCTCTAGTGATCACAGTGTGACTTCTCATTAAAGTGCCCAGGCCTGCTCTCCTGACGTTCCCTTCTCTTCCTTTTCAATTTATTTTTTTAAAAGCATACAAAGGTCCATGTTTACCATATATTACTAGGGAGCTGCATTACAAATAGGTTTTGCGCATGCGTGCACATGCATGCACACACCCAACACTGTCCTGCACATTACATCATCCTTCAGCACTAAGGGAAGGATGTTCAGGACATGCATCCAGGTTGGTGCCACATTGTGACGGTGCCCTGAGCACTTTCAGACAGCAGAGTCCAATGTCTCCGTAGCAGGAAGATAGAAGGTAGAGGGTGAGGGAGCAAGACTGCAGGTTGGCAACTGAGTGGCCAGGACTCCAGACACCCAGTTTCCCAACAGCTTTGAAATCACTTGCAATTTCAATTTTCCTTCCAACTCAGGAGCTGAAGAAATGGCAAGGATCTGCATACAACTGCTGTGAGGATTTTTGCTCACCACTGCAAGTCCCACATCTGGGAGAAAAGCAAGGGCTTTTCAAACAGAATGTGAATGTGGTAACCAGTATTACTGAAGCCTTTCTTCAGCTGGGACTAATCTACCAATTATGGCTATGTCCTGACAGACAAAGCCTAGCCACTGTTGCACACACTCTGATAGTATCCCATTTAGACTGTTCTAACATGCTCTCGGCTTTCAGCTTTAAAAGCCAAGAGCTTTGACTGCTCTTTGGAAGGCTAGATACTGAAGATAAAACTCATCTTTAGATACTGAAGGCCAGATACTGAAGATGAGACTTTGGCCACCCAATGAGAAGGAAGAACTCACTGGAGAAGAGCCTGATGCTGGGAACAATTGACAGCGAAAGAAGAAGGGGACGGCAGAGAATGAGGTGGCTAGATAGAGTCACTGAAGCAGTTGGTGTGAGCTTAAGTGGACTCCAGGGGATGGTGGAGGACAGGAAGGCCTGGAGGAATGTTGTCCATGGGGCCGCGATGGGTCGGACATGACTTCACAACTAACAACAACCACATGCTCTAAGTGTGGCTGTCTTTGAAGACAGTCTGGACACTCCAGCTGGTTCACAATAGGGCTGCATGATTGTTAACAAGAACTAGTCTAAGGGTCCATATTAAACAAGTTTTATATCAACTACACTGGCCACCAGTGGGAGTCCGAGCCCAATTTAAAGTGCTTGTGCTTACATATAAAACCCTGAAATGCTTGGGCCCTGGGTAACTGAAGGATCGCCAGCTCCTGTACGTGCCTGCCCATCCATTAAGATAGAGTGAGGAAGTCCTTCTTGAAGAGCCATCCCCTAGGGAGATGAAGAGGATGCTGGCTAGGAGAAGAGCCTTCTTGGTGTTAGTGCCCCACCTTTGGAATAGGTGCACTTGGCACCATTAGCGCTAGCATGTCAGCACCAGGCAAAAACTTACCTTTTCTCTGGCTATTTTAACAATTGATTTTAATGGTAATTTGGTTTTGAATCGATCCTATTTCTGGTTTTAGTTTATTTCAGTTTAAATTGTTTTATTTTAATGCTTTATATAATACTTTAATTTTGATATGTTTTACATTTGCTTATGTTCTAAGTGTGTTTTGAATAAGCTAAGTTGACATTATTAAGATTAGAATGTTGTGTATTTACTGTACTGTGAGCCTCACAGAGAGCCCAGATAGGGGCTAGTATAGCAGCATACAAATCAGTCAGTCATTCAAATAAATAAATCAGCCAGACAGCCAGCTGAGAACCAACCCACAAGTGCTTGGCAATCGCATGGGATAAAATTAGTTCAGAGATGCTGCAAATCTTGAAATGAGCAGCATAGTGACATCATAGGGTCCTAGCCTTATACTATTAGGTATTTCTCAAAGCATGTATAATCAGCTAAACAAGTACCAAGCCCTTTGATTAAGTATTCTAGTGTAGAAAAGTCAGAGAGTACTTCTAATACAGAGCTCTTTCATGACCTCACTCTTTTATTTCTTTTCCTACAGCCAAGGCAAAATCTAAATGTGGCTCCACCTTCTTTCCCTGTGCAAGTGGAATTCACTGTATCATTGGCCGTTTCCGATGCAATGGTTTTGAGGACTGTCCTGATGGCAGCGATGAAGAAAACTGCAGTAAGTACCTGTCTACTTCTACATAGAGCGACATCCCATCCCTACTGTTAATAGAGAAATTCAAGTGAAGGCCCAGATTTCCTAAGTTTGTATGCAGAGACACAATTTCTATGGCTTATAACTGCGAGCATCAGCACTTGCCTTTTTAGTAGCTGAACTATTTTGAAACAAGCTGATAGTTTAGCATATGAAACTTTCCTTTATAGAGAATAAATTCTAAAACTTATCTGGAATCCTGAAGGTGATCCGGTGTTTAATCTTTTCTGCACTTCTGCTCTAAAATGCCTGCTGTGTTTCAAGCTTACAATTTGTTTTGTTAGCTGATCAATATAAATCTTTAGGTCAGAACAGAGCAACTGACAACAGGTAGAATTCAGAATGAGGCTGTGAGAAGGGCATGTTGTTCATTAAGGTGACTTTAAAAAGAAAAAGAAAAAACCCACACTCTTCATTTGAATGTTGTCACAAATTGGCTTCATTAAAGATTGCATTGCTGTGCAATGCCATGTCGCTATGCTTTCTCCTCTTCCTACATCACTTTTCTGTTTAGTATTTTTCCTTGTATCCTTGTAAGATGTTTTCCAGGTTGTGTGGTTCTGTGTTCTTTGACCTTGTCAATTATTTCACACACACAAACTCAAACACACACATATAGAGTTGGTACCCTATGCAAAGATTAGATAGCTTCTTTTCTGCCTTTTTTATCATCAGTCATATTGCCTGCAGACTGTAGCTGGCAGGTTGCACTGAGGTCAATATAGGAAGAAAAGCTTCAGCTGTATATTCAGATGCTTGGTTATATTTGGCAGGAATACAGTACAACAGATGCTATTTATCCCACGCAGAGGCGTTTCGCTCAGACTGTGGCACCTCGATTGTAATAAAAGCCACTGAAATCCATTTTGGACTTTGTAGGAACTCTATGTGCAAGGAATATTTTTAGCATAATTGGTAAAAGTGACTGAATTAGTAACCAGCCTGCCTCTGTTACTACTTTGGAGTAGGAGATGGGGATGAGAACAAGATGTTTTCATTTCTTAGGTCAAAGTTATCATCATATCACATTGATTTTAATCTTCTTCTCTTGTCTTCCTTCTCTTTCATAAAGAAAATAATAATAGTTTCAAGTGTGTGCTCTTTCCTACACTTCATGTGAAAGCTTCCTTTTTGTAGGTGGTTGAACAGATTTCATGGTACTGTGGCCAAAATTATAATGTATCACAATTGCAAGGAAAATAGGTGGATCTCTCAATATGTTTTGGGCACACATACCCTTCTCAGAGGAACTTTTAGAAACGTCTTAAAAGGAAAAAGGAACAGCACGCCCATTTTGTAAACTAACCAAAGCTGCAAGATTTACAGTAAGGTTTTCTTAAACGTTAGCTTTCTTCCTTGTTGACATCTATTTGGATGCATTCACATTTTTGACCTTTTTATTTATTTACATATGTCATCCTCAGTAGCCTCTGTGTTTGTCTTGCTCTTGTGTCTCCTGAAACATGGGAACAGATTCCCACCAGAGAAAATGCAGTTGGAAGAAGTTTAAGGGCAGTGAAATTTACCTTAGGTTACACTTGAACAAGCAGAGCTAGAATGGTTTTGCAAAAAATACATCTTAAATCAGAATTCTGAAGTTTGGAAGAGAGATGGAAAACCATCGCTCTATTCTGAACAAACTTCTGAATCACAAGTAGGATCAGATCAAAAAATCTACTGTATCAAATACCTTTCATGTACATATTTACTTTTATTAGAGTGTTGGAGTTTACTTTTCAGCCTTTCGTATGCTTGGGCCTTTTCTTGGAAACCTCAGCTCACCCTAGAATTCTTTATAGCGTAAGAGTTTTCTTGTATAAAAATGTGCAAAAGAGAAAATTGTATGTAGGAAGTTTCCATTATATGGTTCCCTCTAGCATTCTAAGGTGATTTAGCACAAAACTGCCAACTCTTGGGAAGTGTGAAGACTCATGGTAGCAGGAAGAATGGGAAGAAAAACATCTCTCCAGCATTAATTTTTCCAATGAAAGGCAAGACAATTTTTTTGTGGAAAGGGGAAAGCGCTTAATAGAACAGTTTTCTTTTTCAGAAGAGCAAATGAAATACTTTTAAATGAGCATTTCTGAGTAAAATTACTATACCCAATTTTCTGCAAAACCCTTAAATCCAAGAAGAAAGGGGAATTGTTTGTGAAGATAGCATTTGCTTCTGCTTTGCAAGGATGACTCAACAAGTAGCACTCTGGGAATTTAATGTTAGAAAATAACTTCCAGTTGAAAAATATAAAATATCTTCATGTAATTTTGACTTAACTGGAAAACTACCAAGCATATTTTTCTAGTAGTGTGGTGCTTCTTGCTTCCCATTTGTTTCTATCTTCCTGAGTATGAGAACATAAGAAAAGCCATGCTGGTTGAAGTCAGTAGTCTATCCAGTACAGCACTCCATGACGATGATGGCAACCCACAAGACTCTCAAGCAGGCGGTGTACAAAAATTCTGCATGCTCAAACTCCTCACTGGACACAGGCATGCTGACTCTGATAACAGAGGTGGCACAGAGCTGACGTGGTTTGTAAGCCATCAGTAACCTCCTTCTCCATGAATGAGTCTAGGAGATGGGGATGAGAACAAGTATTCAACTCCATGAATGAGTCTAGTCCTTTTTCATCCAAATTTAAATCTAAACTCTATAGTTTTACTAAATTCTATAGTTTAACTATGCCCTGTGTGGAGAATCACTTGTCCTGAATCACCATCCAGTGAGATTCATGGGTGACCCCTGTTTCAGGTGTTATGGGAAAGGGAGAAGGATGTCTTCCTCTCCATTTTCTCAGCACCGTGCATTGTTTTGGTCACATCTATCATATCATCCTTTACTCACCCTTGTTCTAAGATGAACAATCCCAGCTGTTCTAACTGTTCCTCAAGATGAGTTCTTTCAATTCCTCAATAATTTTAGCTGCCCTTCTCTGTACATTTTCCAACTTAATAATGTCCTTTTCAGGTGTGGCAACAAGAACACAATATTCTAAACGCAGTCCCATAAGAGATTTATATAAAGGGAGTATGATCCTGGAAATTTCATTTTCAATTTCAATTCATTTTTTTGTTTACATCTAGCATGGAGATTGCCTTTTTCACAGTAGCTGTGAAATGTCACCTGTGCTGACATTTTTATCAGACTGTCCACAACAACCCCAAGCTCTTTTCTTGATCAGTAATTGCTAGTTGAGATCCCATTGGCTTATACTCAAAGTGGTGATTTTTGTCCTGTTATGCATTACTTTACCCTTGCTTACATTGAACAGCATCTACCATTTTGATGCCCATTCTCTCAGCTAGGAAAGATCCCTTTGATTTTAACCACCCAAAATATTTTGGTGTCATTGTCAAACTTGGCCACTATACCGCTTATTCCTCATTCCAGATCATTTATGCATAGCTGAAAAGCATTGTTCCTAATACAGAACCTTGTGGTACCCCACTGGTTACATCTCTTGATTTGGAGAAATTGCCATTTAGTCCCACACTTTGCCTTTTGTTCTTTAACCAGTTACTGATCCATAGGATGACCTTCCTGCCCTTTATTCCATGACTGTCCAACAATCTTAATCAAAAGCCTTTTATAACTTCAAGTAAATAATGTCTGTGAAATTGCTCCTGACCACATGTTTCTTGGCGCTCTCAAAAAACTCTAATAGTATTCTATGATGCACATATAGCTGTTACAAAGTTTCGCTTAATACTCTTATTGCTGCTTCTTAATTATATTGTATTTATTTTCTGAACTCTTCCTCTAAAAATATGAGGTGAGGGTTACAGGATGATACTGAAATTTTATTTTTATTTAATTTTATTTACTGTAGCATTTATGGCCTTATTATAAGGTTATTTTATTTTAAGTTGATATATCAGTGTAGTGTTTGCTTGCTTTAAAAGCATAATCTTGTTTGTTAGTACAGTGTTACTACAAAAAAGGCAAAAGTAATTTTAAGTCACATAAACAGAAGTATAAATTCAAAATCATGGGGAATAATATTTCCCCTCTGTTTTGCACTGGTCAAACCTCAACTTGAATATTGGGTTATTGTGTCCAGTTGCGGATACCACAGTTGAAAAACGGTTCAGATAAATTGGAACAAGTTTAGAAAAGGGCGACTAAGATGATTGGCAGCTAGAAACTAAGACCAAGAACAAAACATTGAAGGGACATAGTACGTTTGGTTTCAAGAAGAGATGACTGAGGGAATCTTGTAGCATTTTTCAAGTATCTGAAACATTGTTACAAAGAAGAGGTCCACAATTTTTTCTTTTTCATCTGCATTTGTAAAGCACAGAATAATGGCCTTAAATTAAAGGAAAGCAGATTTTGGTTGGGTATCAGAAAAAAAGCTTCCTAATAGTCAGAGATACGGAACTAACTGCCTAGGAATGTGATGGATTCCTGCACTGAGCTGTGGTTTGACCAAAGGATAAAATGGCCTCTTCCAGCTCTGTGATTTTGTGATGACTTTTATACTTTTGAAGAATTTGTCGATGGTACAGTTTATGTGCTAACAGAGCTATCCTACATTTGAAAGGGAGAAGTAGATAACAATTTGTAAGTTCTGGAGCCCTTCCAGCTTGCTTTAGGCAGAGTTAGTGGGAGATTTTTATTTAAATTTTATTTCTCTGGCATTTTTGTTTAGACCACTCTGTCACTGCCCTATTAGTTTCAATACGTTTGAAATTAAGCATACTAGTTCTCCCTGAGCTGATCTCCGTTATCTCAGGGAAGTGGTAGGTTCAGTGGAATCCACCCTCAAACAGTCTGTTTTGGAGCCTACTACTGGAGGAAACACTACTAGCTATACTACCATGCCTATAGAGTTTTCGGTAGGCATATCATGGCCTTTCTTGCCAGCAGCATTCCTTCCAAGCATTTTTATGCCACCCTAATCCTTCTCAGACAGCCATCCATGGTGCTTGGGATTGTTCTGCCTACTATGTATGATACATTTCAGATACATAATCCTAACCCAAGATTTATTGCCCTACCCAAGGTTTGGCAGACAATCAAGCAACCCATGGCTTGTTTTTTTAGTCCTTAAGTTGTTTGTTTTCCTCCTCTTTTATGCACATCCTTTATGTATTCTGAGTGCCTTTGCAGTGCAGAAATGCCAACATGTATAGAGAAACTAGTATTTTGTCCACTGTCTATGTTGTCTGGTGAAACAACCTACAATTCTGCGTACACACCAGGTTCACAAACCTTAATGTAAACACACAGAGTTCACACCTAACAACAAACCATGGATTCTCTTTATGCGTTGTGTTTAACAAACAATGGATTGTTAGAATGGGCTTGCACATCAGGATATCCTAGAATTCAGAAACCCATAGATTGTTTGTCTGTTTATACCACCCCAATAGTCCAGAGGGCTCTCTGGGTGGTTTACAAACATTAAAACCCCACCAATCCTAAACAAATAAATAAATTGGCTACACCACGACTGAGTATAAAATAACATGGTTAAAATGAATTAAATAAATAAATATACCATTAAAATTAATTAACTTTAAAATATTGGTTAAATAAAAAGTTCTTGACCTGGCACTGAAAAGCATATAGTCACAGTGCCAGGTGGATCTCTCTAGGGAGCGCATTCCATAGTCGGGGTACCACCGCAGAGAAAGCTCTCTTCCGAGTACTCTGTCTCCTAACCTCTTTCAAAGAGGGTTCCTGGAGGAGGGCCTCTGCTGCCAATCTTAGGGGGCGGGAGAGCATATAGGGAAAAAGGCGTTCCTTTAGGTATCCTGGTCCCAAGCTGTTCAAGGCTTTATAGATAATAACCAGCAATAACCACTGGCCTGGACTTCAATGGGAGGCCAGTGGAGCTGATAGAGGACTACAGTAATGTGAGAATAACGACTAGTTCCCAAGAGCATCCTGGCAGCTCTGTTTTGCACCATCTGAAGTATCCGGACCATCTTCTCAAGGTCAGCCCCACGTAGAGCACGTTACAGTAGTCCAGACGAGAGGTAATCAGTGCATGTGTCACTGTTGCCAGGGACAGCTCCAGGTTGAGGAGCACTCCCAAGCTGCAGACCCTGTCCTTTAGAGGGTGTGCAACCCCATCCAGGGCAGGGCCCAGGTCACTTACCCGGAAACTTGAATCACCTACCAACTGGTCCTCCCTTTTATCTGGATTGAGCTTCAGGTAATTGGTCCTCATCCAGCCCATTACCTCAGCCAGGCACTGCTTCAGTACAGCCACCGCCTCACCTGGAGCAGATGTAAATGAGAGGTAGAGCAGGGTGTCATCAGCATACTGATGACTCTGCAGCCCAAACCTCCTGATGACCTCTCCCAGCGGTTTCATGTAGATGTTAAATAGCAAGGGGGACAAAATGGAGCCCTGGGGTATTCCATGGCAGAGTTGCCATGGCGCAGAGCCAAAGTCCCCCAGCACCACCTTCTGGAATCAGCCAGCAAGGTAGGAGCGGAACCACTGCCAACCAGTGCCTCCTACTCCCAGTCCTGACAGCCTATCCAGAAGGATACCATGGTTGATGGGATTGAAAGCCACTGAGAGGTTCAGGAGAACCAACAGGGATGCACTCCCCCTGTCCCTCTCCCTGCACAGGTCATCATACAGGGCGACCAAGGCAGATTCATTACCGTAACCAGGTCTGAAACCAGACTGAAATGGGTCCAGATAATCAGTTTCATCCAAGAGTGCCTGGAGTTGTCCCACCAGCACCCACTTCAACACCTTGCCCAGAAACAGGATGTTGGCCACCAGTCTATAATTAGTGGCCATCTCTGGATCCAGAGATGTCTTCTTTAGGACAGGCCTGATCACCGCCTCCTTTAAAGAAGCAGGAACCCAGCCCTCCCTCAGTGAGGCGTTAATAACCTCCTGGATCCAGGAACCAATCCCATGTTTGGCTTTGGTAAGTAACCATGAAGGGCAAGGGTCAAGTAAGCAGGTGGTTGGACATACTTGTCCAAGCACCTTGTCCGCATCATCAGGCCTCATTAACTGAAATTCATCCAATAAAGCTGGACCAGACGGAGTTCTGGACACCTCCCCTAAAGGAACTGTATCAACTGTGGAGTCCAGCTCGTGACAAATCTGAGCAATTTTCTCCTTAAAGTGCTGGGCAAAGTTGTCACAGCGAGCAATCGATGGTGGTACAAGATCTTTTTTAGGGTCTGGATGTATTAGCCCATGTACCACTCAGAAAAGCTCCGCTGGATGGCACTGTGAGGAGGCAATGGAAGTGGAGAAGAATTTCTTCTTCGTCGCCCTCACCGCCACAATATAGGCTCGATAGTGAGCGCATAAGCATGTTCGGTCAGATTCATCCTGTGATTTCCTCCACCTGCGCTCTAGTCATCTCCCAACTCGCTTCATTGCCCGTAATTCAGATGTATACCATGGAGATGAACGGTCTCTGCCTGGCAGGAAAGGACTCTTAGGAGCGATCGTGTCAATAGCTCTGGTCATTTCCCCATTCCACAGCTCAACGTGAGCATCAACAGGAACGCCAGCTTTTTTAGTATATGTGGAGTTGCATAGCATTAAAACAAGTTTAGGTTTGCTAAGAATATAAGTGTACTGCACTTCCATTCCTTTGCTTTGCTGTGAGCAAAACATATCTCTTTTAGCTATATGGCTGATAATAGGCCTCAGTCACCACCCAGTTTTCCATTTCCTTGGGCAATGGAGTTCTACTTTTTGCTGTGGACTATTGCTTACATTGGCATGCATGAGTAAAGTGCAGATGTAGCGCCTTTTTAAGAGGATTGTGAGAGCAGTAAATTCCAGTTTCTACATTATGGATTATATGCCTCCAGTCTTTAGCATTTTGTTTCCTTGTAGAGATTCTATATATGTCCTCTTTGAATGGTCTGTTTGGTTAGCTTAAAAATAGCAGAAAGCCACAGAGTCTGAGAACTGTAAGCCTTATTCTAATTGTAACCAAGAATTTTTTGAAGCAGATTATGAAGCTAAAGGACCTTGTCATCCCACTTTTCTAAGGCTGTTTAAATGTACACTTCAAATATTGTTTTTCATTTCATATTCTGCATTAAAAGCTAATGGAAGTTTAGAGAAAGTGGCATAGGGTAAAGGTTTTTCAAGGTGTTAGATAAGCAGCAAAATATGGGTCCTGTCCTGGACTATATTATGCAAGCATACAAGATGTTCCAAGACATTCCCATGCAGTGTCTTGCCACATGGAATTAGGGCTGGTTGGTTGGTTGGTTTTTAGTTATAGGAGACCAGCTTATTTGTATAAGCATTTTCCCAGTGGCTTGGAAGGCTGTATATAAGCTTATTGGTTGGATCCAGAGGTGTTCTAGTAGAATATACTCTGTCTGGCAGTGATACTGTTCTATGGATGCTTGTGCAAGAGCTAGCAGAAGACAGACTCAAGCATTGTGCAGTGCTAAGCATGAATGAAAGCCCATCTCTTCATTTAAGTTCTCTGTTATCAAGCAGTCATGCAAAGGCACTTCTAGTTTCAATGTGTGTTGTACTTTACAGAGTAGATTGACCAAGATCCCTGCCCCAAGGAGCTTACAGGCTAAAATCTAACATGGGGTAACAGGAAGTAGGGCCAAGTGGAAAGGAGCCAGAGGGAAAGGAACAGAGAATGTGTGATTTGTTTGTATGTGTGCCTCAGCTGGCTTGTGTAGCACTGTAACTATCTCTTCCGTAAAGCATTGCCTATCTGGAACGCCTTCATCCTAAGCAGCAGTGCTAACTGTACTAAAGTACAGCGGAGACAGCAGATTGCCCGATGGAAATTTGAATTATAAACTGCATGGGACTAGCCTTGGGAGTTAGTGGCTATCTGGCTGAAGCTTTAAATTTGAACAAAATGTCATGCTTTTGCTTTCACAGCAGCAAATCCCTTGCTATGTTCCACTGACCGGTTTCACTGTAGGAATGGCCTGTGCATTGATAAAAGCTTCATGTGTGACAATCAGAATAACTGCCAGGACAACAGCGATGAGGAAAGCTGCGGAAACTCTCAAGGTAAGTACAAAGGACAAAACACTGTCTTTGCAGATAGATATTGGATTCTTACTGAACCTCATTCTTTTTTTCCTGGGTTGTTATATAAATAATACTTAGGGGATGGCTGAACAACGTCCTCACCATCTAATGGTTCACTTTCACAGCAGTCCTCGCTTGTTAGGCTTCTTTGCTGAAATAATACAAGGCATTGCCCCGTAGCAGTCTTTTGTGAATGCCACACAGGCTTGTAAGTACTACATGGAGTGCAGTGGACACATTACTAAACTGAACTAAGCCTCTGGAACGCCTTTGTGAGGCTGGATAAGCACTATCTTCATTTTGTAGCTATGTCCGTGACTTGCAAATGTCAGGCTTTGGACTAAGGTGTATTTTTTAGTGAAAATACAGAGATTTTACAGATGATTACTTTCCTTCACAACAGTAGCTGCTTCATTTGTTACCATAGCACTAGATCCACCACAGCAACAGAAATGTGCAAACAGTAGCAATGGAAGGGCAGAACAAAAGCCTTGTTGCCAGCAAGAGACCTGTTCATTTCTTTTTAAAAAGGAAAACACCTGGAGAGGGTCCACCTTTTACTAAGGGGGCTCACCTTTTAGCAAAATATGCACAAAACCTTTAGAAAACTACAGGTATATAAAAGTTAGGGAAAGGGTGCATGAAAAACTTAACAATGGGACCATTGTGAATGTATGGCTGGCTATGATGATAACATCTCTGGTGTGTTGAAGACTTAGCATTTTGTGTTTCCCTGTAGACTTTGCTAATTTCACGAGAGTGATGGGAGAGACCGTGAAAATAGCAGTAGTGGGGCAGTAAGTAGGATTAGCATTGGAGATTTAAATCAGTAGCATTATTTCAGAGGCTGGGATAACTTCCTTCTTCATATATCAATTGTCTGGTTTGCATCTTACATTATATGTGTTGTCATGACAATCTCTCCGTGGAAGCAATATGCAGAGATTGAAAGGAAAAGCATATGGGAAAACACAGTAAAACTGCTACCATGTTTCATTGGTATGTTAATTTGTCCTTACTTTACATTTGACTCTGTGGGGAGTGGGTGGAAACCTTGTGATCCCAGGAGGTGGGAACGTCAGGCCCATGGGCCAAATCCAGCCTGCCTAGCAGCTGAAGTCTGGTCCTCTGAGATCCACCAGATGTCTGTGCCCCTTTTTCTTCACCCTGCCCCTTTTATCTCAAACAGCTGATAGTTTGGTTGTTTCCCAGATTTCATCCCATTTTTCCTATTCTAAAACACTGCAAGGTTTCACCTCAAGTTTAGTTACAGGAAGTAAGCTCTTTATATTAGAATAGGTGGATAAGTTCAATATTTTGACCCTACCCTTTTTGCCTTCAGCCCCATCCACCACTGGAATGTGCTGCCCCAGAACTTCTTTGGAAGTGAATTCTGCCTCTAGTGTTGTGTTTTCAGAGTCTAATCTTAGCAGTTAAAAGGTCAAGGGCTGAAGAGAACCAAGGTGCTCTACACAAGCACGGATCAGGCAAAAGAACCAAGGTTTCAGCAGTCCAGGTCAGAGGAAAATTGGATCCAGGTAACACAGCAACAAGGAGCAAGGAAAAAGAATGTCTGGACATTTTCCGGAAGTATACTTCCCAGGAATAAGGGCAAGGAGAGCTTGATTTAGGAAGGTCTAGCTAACAACATTTTCAGCAATGCTGTCTCCCTTGCACTGGTGTTTTACATATAGACTGTCAGAGCCAAACATCAGGCTCAGCTCTGAGCTATTAGTGAATATGTATGCAGAGGCGTGTTCACTCGAGGGCTTTTGCTCAGCTGAGCACTTCTTTTGCATTCCTGTCTATTCAGGCTTGCTGTTTCTCTGTCTCCACTTCTGAGGCAGGGTCCTTCTCTTGCACAAGTGATGTCCTCAGCCTGGGCTGCTCCTGGTTCACTGAATGAAATTGGCCATTGCTGGTGGTGGGGTGATTCTCCAGCTCTTCCTTTCAGGAGGAGCCTTCCAATCGTGCATCATACTCAGGCTGAAAGACAATTTATATCTATTCAGAGAAACGCACTTTTTAAAAATCGGCATGGCACATCAACGAGGATATTGCTTTCCTGCTGTTACTCCTCATTCTGAGGCCTTGAACAAAATGGGTGAATATTTTGCTTTACCGAATAATGGGATTAAAAAGGATTTAAAGTAACCTTGTGCTGTGAATATAGTGTATTATGTATGCAATGTATAAATACCACCCCAAGTGTGGATGTGACTAGAAATTTGGAGTTTTCTATTCTGTGGAGCCATCATGAAGCCATCAATTCTGTCTCTTTTCTTTTGAACCTATTGTTACTGTTTTCACTGCAGAAATATATAAATGGCACTTACTTGCTTCCAGACAATTAAGCTATAGCTCCTACCTTTGCCATGCTACTATTCACATCATTAGTGAGAATGATAGAGGGGTTTTTTTTGAGGGGGGAAGGATCTCATATGCCGGAAACATGCACACAGTGTAAAAAGCAGTGTTCTTGTCAAATCCTTCTCTAAAGTCTCAACTTGATCCATGTTTATTAGTGTGACATCCACTCTCTTATTTGTGCATTTGACATCTAATGAGAATATGTTCCTCAAAATACCTTTAAAAATAACTATTACAAGAAAAGCTGTTTAGTTTTAAGGGAAAAGTTTAGAAAGAATACGTAAAGTTTATAATATTTCAGCAAACAATTATTGCCAATTTCTGCTATGTTACATTCTTCTTCACTTCCCCTTAAAATACTTCTGAATCCTGCCTGTCTTTCTGGAGTTTGGGTCTTTTACCTTTTCAAAATGAGAAAATTTCTGCATAAATGACTATATGCATGCATGTGTGTGTGTGTGTGTGTATTTATATGTTCCACAGATGGATTTCAAATGAAGGCCACCACAAATTCTGACTCCAGTTGCAGTGGACTCTTGTTTTCTTAGTGTCTTCTCATCAGCTTGTTAAAAATGGTTCACCCCTTAACCCCTTTGGCTATTGTGAACTCATTTTCCTTTCTATCGCTGTGCTTATCTCTCCCTTAACTGACTCTGAATGATGCCTGCAAAGTGCCCTAGCATAGTAATATCCCCACAGTGTTGTTATTCCTATAATGATAGCATTGCTGCCCAATTACAGGCTGGGTGGTCTGCAAGCCTCATTAATTGTTAGTTTGTATATTCTGTTACCATGCATTGAAGACATTATCCCCCTGATTAAATTTTGGTCTCTGCTCAAACATTTTCCTGGATTTTGACAGCAGGTTGGAGAGGGGAACGCTATTATGCCGGGATTGCCGTCTGGCCTACAGTGTCAATCTTCTGTTTTTAGCCACTTTCCAGTCACTTGAGGTGGAAAGGATAAGCAACCCATTAAAAGATGCAGGTTAGTATTTGCACTCGCATTCAAGTCAGCAGTTCTCTAGCTGAACACTAACAGAAAGACTGCAGAATCCGATAATGGGTATTGCAGAGCCCTCAACCAAGGCACATGTTATCCATTCAGGCAAGTCTTTCAGCATCTGATTTCCAACTCAATTTCACGGGTGTGTTGAAAGTGCCCTATCTCTGATAATTCCACAGTGTGGCACTTGAAATATTCTTGTCCTCTATCATTACAATGCCAGAATATTCCACTTTTTCTTGAGCATGCTGTGTCCTTAATGCTTGAGGATAATGGCAAATGGATATTAAATTTTAAAATTCAGTTAGACAAATCCCCAAATGTCTTAAACCTTGGCCATCAGATATATTCAAAACAAACCAAAACGTTCCGCCTTTTTTCCAGTCTTTGCTGAGGAAGGATACTGAGAAAACTTATTAGATATAGGATAAGGAGATAAGTGAAGAATGGGAAGCAGTGGATGGTTTTTACAGTGAATGGACCCCAAGGTTATGTACTGGGACTGTAACTTTGATGTGAAGAGTTAAAAGTGAATCATAGGGCAGCCAAAAGATTGTGAAAAGCTCCAAAATGATGAATGGGCATTAAAATGGCAAATATGATGCAGAGGTCCACTGGGGCAAAAATCCCACTTCACATATACACTGATGGGGCCTCAGCAGGTTGTGGCTGATTAGAAACGAGATTTGGAGTGTTGTGGGTCACATGTTGACCTATTGTGTAGCTTGGAAGGTTTCAGAACTAAAACTGACAATATAATGATGCCTTTATTCAGATCTGTAGTGCGATCACAGTTGGGGCATTGTGCACAGTTCTGGTGACCCTCTTTAGGGTCTGGCCAAAGTATCACAACAGGCCTTAACACTGAGTCTTAACTGGGTCTTAGTCTGACTGAGAAAGAGATGATCTAGATCAGTGGTTTTCAACCTTTCCACAGCTAGGGACCAGCAAAAACAGGAAAACCACCTTGGGAACCCCTGAGGCAGAAACAAAAAGCACCATACACATAATACAGTGTTCTGTGTATTAGTTTCCAAACACAATACCAGAAAGAAAGGAAAGGAAAGGAAAGGAAAGGAAAGGAAAGGAAAGGAAAGGAAAGGAAGTTCTCCAAAAACAACCAGAAACTGAGCAACAAAAGAACAATATACCAAAATCAGTGTGGCATGGCTCCCAGCCGGCTCCCACTGAGCCATCTTACTCCTCCCCCTCCCCAGGCAAATGTGATGTCAACTGGGGAAAAGGTGTTGGAGCACAGCCAGCCCCCATGCCAGTCCGTGGTGAAGAGGATGTGGCCACCCCACGGACCAACAGGAAATCTCCAGTGGACTGGCGCCAGTCCATGGACTGGTGACTGAAAAGTATTGTCATGGAAATCTAAAGGTCTAGTATCCTAATGAAGTCTGATTCTGCACTGGGTTCCATGACTGTGCACAGCATAACCTCAGATCTGGCTTAGTTGCAAGATAAACATGGTTTAGGACCCACCTATGGTTTTACTGTCCCCTCATCTTGACTATAAGAGGATTCTGAGGAAGAGGGAGAATCGGGGATCTTGCCCAGGATGAGGATGCAAATCAAAAGGGAGGAGCAGCTACGCCCCT